TGTGTGTATCTGTGTGTGTGTCTGTGTGTGTGTGTGTGTGTGTGTGAGTGTGTGTGTATGCGTGTGTGTGTATCTGTGTGTGTGTATGCATGTGTGTGTGTGTCTGTGTGTGTATGCATGTGTGTGTGTATCTGTGTGTGTATGCATGTGTGTGTGTGTGTCTGTGTGTGTCTATGTGCAAATCTGTGTGTGTGAGAAAGAGTGCGAGTCTGTATTTGTGTGCGTTTGTCTGCATGTGTGTGAGAATGTGTTTGTGTGTGAGAGAGAGTATGTGTGTAAGATTGTGAATGCGTGTAGTTAAAGGCACAGCCCCTGTTTGTGAAATGATGAAAATCAGGAATGTACTACTGACCCGAATGAGGGGAATCACAGAAAATCTTGAGTGCAACAGGACAGGGGAGAGACAGGATGGGGCCAGGTCATGAAAGGATATGAAAAACTTAAAACACTTTAAGTTCTGGACTGATGATCCTAACTCAGCACAGAGCAGGGGAGTGATGGAATGGTGCAGGAGAGAAAGGAGGCAGAAATTGTGTCTGAGATCATCACTGTATCTTCTTAAGGTGAAAGGCTCAAATCTCTTCTCTGTGGCTGAGTAACAAAGAATGGGATCCATGACCGGGGAGTTTGTGTCGTTTACGCTTTGAAAGTGATTAATTTTGTCTCCCGTCTTACTAGACCAGGTTTACTAAACATCGGAGATTCAAACCAGCCCTGGTTAGCGGATACCTGGCCCAACACAGGAACCAATCACAATGACTGTAGCATCAACTGCTGCTCCTCGACCAATGCCAACAGTGATAGCAACCTTACAACCTACAGCCGGCCAGGTAGGGCTCTTTCATTGGCTAATTCCCATTCTACGTGTGTATTAGGAACAGGAGTAGGCTTGAAGGGCTGAATGGTCTACTTCTACTCTTATTCATATCTATGTATGTTTATTTGGGGGCAGGGGCTTGATTGGCAAGATTAACTATTAGAGTGAAGAGGCGGGGAATGGTGGGAACTAGGGAAGAAGGAACAATGCATCCATTGTGAACTTTGACAGTTCTCTTCCGCTGCATTCTCATCTTGTCTCTGCCTCCCTCCTGCTCAGCTGATTGCATCGCCAACTATAACAACCAGCTGGAGAATAAACAGACCAACCTGATGCTGCCTGAGTCAGCCGTCTATGGAGACATGGACCTGAGCAACAAGATCAACGAGATGAAGACCTTCAACAGCCCCAATCTGAAGGAGGGTCGCTGCCTGAACCAAACAGCACAGCCCACTCCCTATGCCACCACCCAGCTTATCCAGACCACGCTGGGCAACAACATGAACAGTAGTGGAATTGAACTGAATGACAAGCACTGGAAACCGTCACTGCAGACCAAACAGGAGATATCCCCCATGCAGTACAACATCATGGAGCAAAATAAACTCAACAAAGGTAAATAACGGAGGACTCATTGCATTTCTGTGGCACCCTCTGGAATTCCATTCCGAGCCATTGATGCTCCCATTAGTGCGCGACCACTGTTGCAACATTTAATTAAGCACAGCGAGCTCTCATAAGCAAACATTGTGATGATATCCAATCATCTGTAGGATGAGGGATAAATATTGGTCCAGGATCCTAGAGAAAGCTCTCTGACAATATAGTGCCTGTAGGGTGTTGCTAAGAAGGGCTGAAAGGCCTTTGTTTGATGGCTTCTGACAGTAAAGAATGAGCTGGTGAGATGAAGGTCATCAATATGACCCAGCAATGATGAGCAATGTTGATCAAACAAGACTAGGAGCTAACAGTGTTTAACGTGATCCAGCTAGACCTGGTAGGGGCCAATGTCTATTATATTTGCTCTGGTCTGAGTTCATCGCCTTGAAGGAGTGGAATTTAAAGGATAATGAGGGGAAGGGAGCTAAAGGAGGGAGGAATGGCCAGGAGGCACAGGGGTAAGAGTTTACTGAGCGCTGAGTCTTTGAAGGTGAAGACACAAAGTGAGGATGAGAAAATCAGGGTTAGAATATATATCAAGGGCTCTGAAGGGCTAAAAACTAGAGAATTGGGAAGTCAAGACTGTAGCTGTAAGTGAATTCAGCGAATTACAGAGCTGGAGAGAGGGTGGCAGAGAAGGGGGAAATGAGTGAGTGATTGAAGAAAGCGATCAGATGGTCTAATCTATCATCAATATGATGGGATCAGCAAGATCACTTCAGACATTAATATCACAAATGTGAACTGTGAATATGTTCCAGCAGTTCACATGGAGGGAGAAGTTAAGGGAGGAGAAGAGGGCTGTGAACTCAGAGGAGGAAGGACACGAAGAGTTGAGGTGGAGAAAATCATCGAGGATGAAAACACGTTAGGTGCAGAGGCTGATGGAGGAAGATAGTCAGGAAATTTCAGCAGATTTTTATATCATACCTGACTGACAGGATGGCAGAGGACGCGGATTTTAATTGAGAGGCTATTGGATGGAATATGGGTTGATGATGAACCGAAGAAAAGAATCCAGAGGAATGGGCAATCAGGCTAGAGTCAATAGAATTAAAATGGGGCTCTGTCTGCACTCTGAATCATAGAATTCCCGAGTGTGGAAGTAGACCAATTCAGCCCATTGAGTCCACACCAACCATCCGAAGAGCATCCCACCCAACCTCACTACTCCTACCCTATTCCTGCAACCCTGCATTTCCCATAGCTAACCCACCTAACCTGCATATTCCTGGATACTATGGGCAATTTAGCATGGCCAATCCACCCTAACCTACACATCTTTGGACTGTGGGAAGAAACCGAGCACCTGGAGGGGACCCATGCAGACAAGAGGAAAATGTGCAAACACCATTCAGTCACTCGAGGCTGGAATCGAACCCAGGTCCCTGGTGCTGTGAGATAGTAGTGCTAACCACTGGGCCACTGTGCCACCCACAAATAGATTAATCTAACCACAATGTGGTTGTATAACCTGTTCAGTATGCTGATTTCAGGTACACAAGTCTTCGGGGTTAGAGATCAAACCACACCAAAATCTATGAAAAAACGAAATTGCGTTCATTGTCCAGTGACTGGGGAAAAATGTCAGATGTTGTAAAACTGTGTAACCTACAAGGAAAATATCCAGTTGATATTTAACCTCATGTTTGCCCTATCCTGAGAGTGTTTGATAGACACAGTTTTGAGGGAGCTTTACTCTGTACCTAACCCTGTGCTCTCCATGTCCTGGGACTGTTTGATGGGGACAGTGTAGAGGGAGCTTTACTCCATACCTAACCCTGTCCTGTCCCTGTCCTGGGAGTGTTTGATGGGGACACTGTAGAGCAAGCTTTACTCTGAATCTAACCCTATGCTGTAGCTGTCCTGGGAGTGTTTGATGGGGTCAGTGTAGATGGTGATTTATTTCCACTTAAAAAGAGAAGAGAAAGCTGTACTGTCAGCTTAGAAAAGTAAAGGGAGGTTTATTGTCAATTCAAAAGAGTTGAGAGAATTTTATTCTGTAACCAATCCCGTATTTTCCTCATCTGAGAGTGTTTGATGGAGACATTGTAGAGTCAGCTTTACTTTCAGTTTAAAAGAGTAGGGAGAGTTTACTCTGTATCCAGTACCCTATCCTGGGGATGTTTGTTTGGAGTTTGAGATCTAATTAGTATTGTTCCATCTTTATTTCCTTTCAGATAATCGACTAGCCGAAACGAACAGCATTCCCACAATCCCGTACAACCAGGCAAGTGAGCATGGGACAAGTGGATCCTACAACAGTTCAGATCGAGGCAGCAACACATCAGGTTAGTGACTGGGTTACTGTCGGTTTATGTGAAAGCAAGTGTAGTGATTGTGACAAGGCTAGCCAGATGGACCCTATAGAATCTGAATTCCCTGATTGGGGCTGTTAACCTGGTCCAATTGGGGAGCCTTCACTAACAGATCCAAACAGGTGGGTCAGAGGTTCTGTTCACTCCGAGAGCTGGCTTGGAGGGAGCTGGATCAGCGTCAAAGACTCTCCACGTGTAAATACAGGGTGACTAGGTGATGGGATACCAGCCTCGGTAGAGTTATTTCAGCAAGGTGTTTCAGA